GGCCCAGCCAACCCACCCCAGAGCCCACCGCCCCTACCCTGGCATGGCCGGGGTCGCTGAGCACCCACTTCTAGTCTGGGCCCCTGGCACCTGGAGGGTGTGGGAGAACGCGGCCATCTCGCCCCCACCAGGCATAAAGAGCCTCCCAAGGAGTTGGACTCGGCCTCCTCCGATGAGGAGAGCGAAGACGGCGACTTCACGGTGTACGAGTGCCCGGGCCTGGCCCCGGTAAGTGCACGGGGCTGGGGCGCAGGGATTACCAGCTTCTGGGGGGCTGCCCCCTCCCTGGGCACTGCCCACCCTGCGCCCTGGACGTGCCTGACACCTGCCTTTGCAGACTGGGGAGATGGAGGTCCGCAACCCGCTGTTCGACCAGTCCTCGCTGTCTGCACCCCTGCCAGCTCCCCCGCAGTGACCCGAAGGGTGATGCCCACCCTCGGAGGACCCCACCATCCACGGGTGGGGAGCCAGGGACCCGCGTTTCCCAATAAAGAGACCGCGTTCTGATCCTTGGCCGTTCTTGTGGCTGAGCTGGGGCGCCAGCTGGAAACCCCTTGGGGGGCAGGGCACCTTCTGTTCTCCCTGCACCTGTCCTCTAGATTCTGGACCCCCAAAGGAGGGTGGAGAGAACCCCAGAGACCAGGCGTGGGTGGGAATGCTGGAGACAAGCCAATTAAAGCACTTTTCAAACCTGGCTTCTGTGCTGGAGACCCACCCGCAGCCTTTGGGGCCATGGTGGGTGGATCCTGGGGTGGGGGCCTGAGCCTTTCAACCACACCCCCAGAGAGGGGGCACCTCTGCCCTGCTGGGGAAGGGAGGCCTTAGTTTTTCATAGACAGGGAGGACCATCCCCTCTTCCAGGCCTCACCCCTCCCAACACTTCTGCCCCAAGTCCAGCCGGGGTGCGGTGCAGGACTGGGCAGATCTGAAGTTGGTGCCACCCTCTGAAAGACCCTGTCCCATGTAAGATGAAAAGGGCTGGGTATTGGGTACCCCAGACACTTGGCAGCGGGCACCCAGCACCTCCATTCTTGCCTGTTGTCCACTTGGGTGGGATGGCTCTGTCACAGGCGCCACATTGGCCCCTGGGCCTCTGCAACAGGGGGAGGGGGCTCTGCCAGGCAGAGGGAACTGAGGGACACAGTTGGGTGCACCAGGTGGGCTGGGCGAGGGGAGAGAGGGGACCCCAATATCAGGAGCAGGGTCTTGGTCCACCCCAACACCCCACTGAGGAACAAAGAGGGAAGGGAAGGGTGACCTTTAGTTGCAGGCACAGAGTGGGTATGTCTGAGGGGGCATGGAAGGGCACTGTCTGGTCAGAGCTGCTGAGACAGGTACTGGGGACAAGGGATGAGACCTGTGTGCCCTACCGAGGCTGTGCAGGGGGGAGCATTGAGTTCAGAAGTCCCTCGGTGCTCCCTGGATGGGGGTCCAGGGAATGCTGGACCTCTGGCTCTTGGATGATGGGGGCAGCCCTGAGTGGACAGGTGGGTCCCTGAGGACAGACAGGTAGGGCTGGGCTGGGCTGGGGAATTGGGGTTGGCTTGCTTGGAGCTAATGGCTTGTTCACCCTGGCTGGTAGCCCGCAGTGGACAGAGCATCGGCCCAGCACTGGCGGGTCACAGGTTCGATTCCTGGTCAAGGGCATGTACCTGGGTTGCAGGTTCAATCCCCGGCCCCGTCGGGGCACATGCAGGAGGCAACCAGTGGATGTGTCTCTGTCACGTCAGTGTTTCTCTCTTTCTCCCCCTTCCTCCCTCCCTTCCACTCTTTCTAAAAAAAATCAACGGGAAAAATATCTTCTGGTGAGATTAACAAAAAATGAGATAAAATGAATAAAATAAATAAAGCAGCCTGCTTCTGAGGCCAGAGCCCACCCAGGCTGAGAAGTCCCTTCCCCGTCTCCAACCCGTGGACTGTGGCCTTGGGCCGGCCCTCAGCTGGGGCCCCTTTCCCTTCATGCACGGGCATGGGACGTGGAAGGAGGCGGGTGCCAGGGTCTGGGAATTCGTGTGGGATGAGGGCGGCTGGTGAGGACCACGTGTCCACTGTTACTTCACCTGTGCCGTTAGGGGAGATAACTGTGGGGAAAACGGGTGCAGAGAGATGGAAGCCTCATGGGCAAAGGTAGCCTGGCACCCAGCTGGGCCTGGTCCAGGCCAGTCTGTCTCGCTGGCTTGATCCTGCAGACCCGGGCCCAGGGGATTCCCCTGGAGCTCTGGGCTCAGTCCCTGGGGTCCTGACACCCACCTTTCCAACCTCCTGCTGCCCTGACATGGACAGAGAATGGCCAACCAGTGTATCCTGTCTTTTCTCCTTCCTCGGGGGGCCCCTAAGCTGTCCCCAGAGTCCCTGCTGCCCACTCCTCAGGGCGCCAGCAAAGAGGGTGCCCCTTCCAGTGGTAGCTGCAATGAGAGGGAGCCAACGGGCCTGGGCCAGGGAAGCACAGGCAGGGGCTGCCGTCCTCTGGGGATGAGGCCCCCCTCAAGCCCCTTGCCTGGCAGAGGGCCCTGAGCAGCTCAGCACCCCGCTGCCCCCCAGCTTTCAGGGCTTCCAGTGGCCCCAGGCTCACTCAGAGCCAGGCCCTGCTTTTGTCCAAATTCCTACAAACGTCTTCCTCCCTTGGGCCCCAGGGTGGGGGTTTGGTGGGCTGCCCCGCGGCCAAGGTTTAGGGCTCAGGGAGGTCCTGGCCCCACAGGGACCCTGGAGACCCCAAGCCTGGGCAATTCCGGATTTTGAGTCCCCCAGCTGCAAACCTGCCCACTACCCCAGGAGTGGGTCTTGTGTCTCAGCATGGAAATGAAGGGGTGAGCCAAAGTCAGGTACAGCGCGTAGGTCCCTGGAGGAGCCCCCAGCAGATCCTGGAGCTCCTCCTGCACAAGGAAGTGGCTGTGCTCCTGAGCCTGGGTCGGGGCGACATAGGAGAGGAGGGGCTGGTGCCTGCGAGATACCCAGGTGGTCCCACTCAAGGCAGGACAGCCCCGCCCGCTGCCTGCTGCCAGTGGCTCCCGGCACCACGCCAGTGCTGCCCCCTTGGCTGAGCCCTATGCTGGAGACCCCCTGGGCCACCTGCCAGCCTCAGTGCACCCACCTTCCTGAAGGGGACCCTGAACTACACCCTGCCCTCGCCCCACCCTCTCCTTGAGACTAGATTGCTCTCTGGCTCCCTCTGCCGCCGGCCTTCACTCCCTCCCAGCCAGGTGGCTCTGGAGCTGTGTCATCAGGGGGCCTCGGGGCACGAGTCTGCACTCTGCCCCGTTCAGGCCAACCCCTGGAGCATGCAGGTGGGCTCTGGCCCTCTCTCCCAGAGGCACCCCTTGGTCTGAGGCTGGGTGGCTTGTTGTCTGCCAAGGGCAGTGATTGGGAGGCTAGTGTGGGCCCCATTTCCCTGGTTTGAGCTTCAATGGGTGTCCCCTGGGAGGTT